ACCAGAGTGCAGAGCAGTTATGCTACTTACTAGTAGTAGTACTGGTACTGCTTACCTAGTAAGTCTCTAAGGAGCAGCTAGGTGGTTCAGTGGATAGAGCACCAGACCAGAGTCAGGAGAACCTGAGTACAAAGCCAGCCTCAGACACTTATTAGATGTGTGGCCATAGGCAAGTCACTCCACCCTGTTTGCCTCAGTTTCCTCATCTGTAAAATGAGTTAGAGAAGAAAATGACAGACCACTTCAGTATCTTTGCCAAGAGAAACCCAAATGGGGTCACGAAGAATCAGACGTGACTAATTGAACGAGTAACTGTCTAATGAAAGATGTCAACTAAAACGTTCCTAATTCCCAAGTCCAGCACTCTCTGTACTAAGGTGCCTCTCTACTAATAGCTGACATTTAGCTTCTCACTCACACTGACATAAAGTCTTAAGGTTTGCAAAGCAATTGACATACGTTATTTCATTTTATTCTTACAACCACCCTTATAGGATTATACACTTAGAGCTACAAGGCACCTTGGAGGACTCTAGTCCATGCGCTCATTTTACAGATGAGGAAACTGAGACTCCTAAAGGTGACCACATGGTTTCTAAGAAGTTAAATCTCTGAGTCTAGATCTAGAGCTCTTTCCACTTGCCATGCTTTCCCAAAAGATAATGGAAGAGTAGCAGCAGCAGCAGTAGTAACAGCAGCAGTAGTAGTAGTGGTGGTAGTGGTGGTGGTGGTGGTGGTAGTAGTAGTAGTCATAGTAGTAGTAGTAGTAGTAGTAGTAGTGGTAGTAGTAGTAGTAGTAGCAGTAGTAATAGTAGTTAGTAGTACTATATTATAATGTCACTAATTGTAGTGTAATTAACTATAATAACAAAATTATTATTAACTCCATGAAGAAGAAACTCTTATGCCATTTTACAGGAGGAAACAGGCTCAGAGTGGTTGGGTAAATTGCCCCAGGTCACAGAGCTAGTAAGTATCTGAGGAAGAAGCTGAACTCAGGTCTTCCTAAATCTTGGTCCCCTCATCTATCTCGTACAGTTGGAATTAAAGACAGAGGAGACAGTGTTTGGCATTAATATAGTAGCTGGAGATTTCCTAAGTACTTCACATACAGTGGCTAGAGTGTTGACTTTGGGGTCAGAGGACTTCAAATCTCACAATCTGATAATTACTAGCTGTAGGCAAGTCATTTAAGTTCCCTAGGCTTCAGTTCTATCATCTGTAACATAGGGAGATGAACTAGATGGCCTTGGAAATTCCTTCTAACTCTAGATCTGTGCTTACCAGGTGTCTCCTTATCGTGTTATTATCGTCGTGTCATTATTATAATTATTATACCATATTTAGTGATATGATATAATATGATATATGTGACATATAATGTGATAATATGATGTGATTCCATCATAATTAGTAACACATTAAAATATATTTCTGCTACCAGTAAACTCTTTAAATTATGCCATTCCAGAAAAATAGTTGATAATAATGTCAGAAATCTCCTTGAGACTGATCAACTATAAACTTTGCCTGTTATTGAATAAGTCTTAGAAAAAAAACGGCAACAGCATTTTTCTTTTTAAAAAACAAACAAAAAAGAGGAAAAGAAGGAGAAGAAGAAATATAATTCTATGTTTCATATTAACTCCAGTGTGCCACACACGTTGTAGAACATATGTGGGCTAATTATTTTTATAGCTGACTTTAAGAAGGTTCATCATGTCACCATTCCATCGCAGACTTTCAGCTCTTTCTCTTTTCTAATTAGGCTTCTGTCACTCAGATAAAGTTTGGAAATATTTTCACTATGCAAAAATTTTCTTTGTAGGGATGGCACCAGTATTGGCATTCATTGTCATGGAATTTGTGTTGGAAAAGATTGTATCCCTGATCTCCAGAAAGACCTAGCATACACCAGTAGACAAACATATTATCCATTTCTTAAAACAATTTTTTACAATTTCTTTTTATTATTATGAATTTAATAAACTTGATGTAGTGAGCATTTCCTTTTTCAAAGAACAACAACAAAAGGACTGCATATGAAGCCACGAATCTCTACCACATAAAGCTTCTTTGTTCCTTTGTTTCAAATTTCCCAACCCTGGCCTGCTTATCTGTGTCCACTTCTGAACTTGTTTCTACTCCCTTCTGTTGAGTTTTCAAAATTAATTCATCAATGCTCTTTTTTCTGTTCCTCATTTTTATTAGCGTCATTTTCATTAATTCCCATTCTTCCCACTGAGCCACTCTCCCCCAAAAAGAAAAACTTGCCTCTGTAACAGAAAAGTATAATAATGCAAAACATCCATCCATTGGCCCTGTCTGAAGAGGTATGTCTTACTCTCTCTGTTAGTCCATCCCCTCATCACCTCTGTGCCAGGGTAGGAAGCATACATTGCTCCTCTGGGGTCACGATTACTTGTTCTGTTGATTCTAGTTCTTAAGACTTTGAGAACCATTTTCTTTTACACTTTTTGTTGTGTAACTTGTCCTCTTGGTTGTTTCTACTTCGCTCTGCTTCAGTTCAAGCAAATCTTTCCTCCCAGGTTTCTCTGAATCTAACCTGACATCATTGCTTATGGTACAACGATATTTCATTAACTCATAAATCACGTAATGTTCAGCCATTTTCCAACTCATAGATGCCCACTTTTTTTCTAATTGTTTGCAACAGCATAAAATTTGTGCATACGGTTACTTTCTCCTCGCTGATCTCTTTTTTTGTACATATTAATCATTTCTCTTATGTTTGAAGTTTTTAAAATCACTAGCAGTCAGCCCTTTAAGGTTTGCAAAGCACATATATTCAGACGCAGTGGTTGATTTGTTTCTGATGTTCCCATGTGTATCCTCACTGATTTGAACCTGGTGTAAAAAGAATTCTGTAGCAGGTGTTGGAATATCTGCGTTCCAGTATGGACCCTAATGCCTTCTGTTCATAACCTTGAGTGAGTTCCTTCAATGTGAAAACTTATATATAATAAAAGAGTATTGGACTTGAAGCTGGGAGATCTATATCACCTTAGGCATCAATTAACCTCCTTGGGCTTCAGTTTTCTGATCTGTAAAGGTAATAAACATTTATTAAATACCTACTCTGTGCCATGCCCTGTGCTAAGTGCTTTACAAATATTATCTCATTTGGTCCTCACAGCAAAACCCTGGGAGGCAGGTGTGATTATTATGCTTATTTTACAATGGAGAAAAACTGAGGCAGTTGGAAGTTAAGTGACTTGTCCAGGGTCACACAGTTAATTATTCTGTGTAGCTGAGGTGAAGTAGTAGTCATGCAATTTAATAGGAAATTGAGATACCAGTAGGGTAGGGCATTTGAGGGAGAATAGATGTGAATGTTTAAGACTCCTATTTAAGGGTTGGAGAGGAGACCAATAATCTTCAAACTGGACTTCTTGAAAGAAGAAGGAGAATGATCTTGGGATTGGAACTCAACAGCACCAGGATCTGAACAGAGTCAATAGGTTTAAGAGAATGCCTTTCAGAGGAGGAAAGGATGCTACAAGATGGCGGCAGAGGGTGAGCATAGAAGTGAAAGTAGAGAGCCAAGAATATTCTAGCTTCTTTTAAGACTAGTGTGTTTTGGGGGAGGAGAAGGGCAAATACAAGGACATCGCCTGTGTTGATGAAGATGCCCAGGGATGCCATGTCTTCGAAGGTCATACAGGAGGTGGTGAATAACTGAAATGAGACAAGCTTCTATCATGTGACCCCACATCCAGTGTTTTTATACTATTTTCTCCCACTGTGTACTACAGTGGGAGGTAGAGAGTAGAGCAAGGGTCTTTCTAGCAGTGTCAGTCTTTATTTCTCTAAATGGACTGGAATTCTTGAAGGCAGGGTCCACTCTTCTGATTCTTCATGTCCTCTCTAACAGGTAGCATTTGCAGGCACAGTGAAATACTGCATGTAGAGTTCAGCGCATTGCCTGGCACATGGCAAATGCTTAATGAATGCATGTTGGCTTTCCCTTTCTGTCCCCATAGAGTAGGCACCATTTAAAGATTAACATTTTTTTTTCTTTTTAAATGTATCAAATGTAAACACACATTCCATTCTCTGGAATCTCAGTATGAAAGTTATTTCTAAGAACATAGTTGGAATTTATCTAAAGGATTTTGTTTCTCAGCCCAGGACCCAAGCTGAATGACTTTTAAAGAAAGCCTAAAAGCTGCTTATCTCTAGATGAAGGAGAGTGCTACCTTTAGTATCCAGAGAGAAGTAAAGACTTACTCCTGAGAGGAGATTGGTTTTGGAGAAAAAATATGGTGTTCAGCCCCGCTTAGCTTCTTTCATTTTGTTTAGATTCTGTGTCCCTTAAAATGTTCTTTACAATCAAGATGGTAACTCAGAGACCCTTTATGACAGTGTTGCTCTCTGTCAGACATTTTTTCCACCCAGCCTTTGTTCAGTTTCCTTAAATGTGATCAACCAAGAATTTGTCAAGCACTTACTATGGGCTAGGCACTGTGCTGGATGTTGGGGAGGTGGTATAGTTCCTGCCCTCAGGGAGCTTATGTTTGAAAGGGCTGCTGCCTTGGACCAAGTCTTGAAAGTGTATTTGAGCAGACCTTTGTTGTGCTGTTATAGAAATGCCAAATCTTTAGGTCTTGAGCTGGTGGGTTATCTCTGGATGTTGCCAAGAGTTTGAAAAGCTGATTGTTCTCTGTTTTGCTTAAGCTTAAACCAATGCCTGCCCCTCCCTCCTCCCCCCTCCCCATCTCTAACTCTCCAAACATCAAAAACACAGTGGTTTGGCTTTTTCTTTAATAGCTCCTATTTTCAGTGTCATGGACCCAGGAAGTAGAAGACATAGGTAGTGGTGGTGGGGATGGTAGAAGGGGGAGCCATGATGCTGAATGGAAATGGCTACATTTGGAAGTCTCCATGTGGAAGCTAGAGTTTGTTCCTGTGTCTGGGGTTTGTGGCCCTCCATTTTGAGTTAAATGGTGCCATTTTATACTGTGGTCTTTCTGCTACAGGCACAACCCGGCCTCCAAGAGAAGGAGAAGTGCCTGGGGTGGATTACAATTTTCTGACGGTCAAAGAGTTCCTGGATCTTGAGCAGAGTGGGACCCTCTTGGAAGTTGGCACATATGAAGGTAAGGTGATCTGCCGAAGGATGAGCAGGTGGAAGCAGCCTGGGCTTAGCCCCTCTGCAAGATGACTTGCTTCTCAAGCTTTTGCTTTTCTTTATCTATTTGCACTCAGTATTTCTTTCAAAATGGGGACTTATTTTCATCAAAGTAGCAAAATTGTATTTATGTACCCAAAGTGACTTTGTATAGAAGTCTCCTTGTATTTCAAAATTTATTTTATTTCCTAAGAATCCTAATCTCACGTCTGACCTACATTTCTTTTTCCTAATGAACTTTGAGAGCAATGATATGGCATGATTGTTATTTGGTATTTTTTAATTGTCTGATTAGCACATGGCTTGTGTGTACACGCACATTTACACATACGTGTATAAGTACATGTGTGTGTATGTACAAATGTGTGTATATATATGCACACATATATTTACATATACATATATAAGTATGTATGTATGTGTGTGTATGTGTGTATTGCCTGAGCAATGTCTCTCAGTGGTTAATGAATTACTAGCTTGTGTTTGTCCCCACACACTTCTGTTCTAAAAATGATAGTTTATTTAGCTGATCTTATTAACTTACTGGCCTCATTAAACAGCAAGAGGTAGGTGGAGGGAAAATCTCATTTACAGAAAGCTTTGATGAGAAACCAAGTGAAGCCAAATCATCCCCCAGGTGTGGGATAAAACTGGAAGCAGGACAACAAACAGATGAAAAAATGGAACAATGCTGCTAAGACTCTTATCACAAAGTGTTTTCTCTGACATTGACAGTGGACGTACTATATTTGGACTCAAACATGCCAGTCTGTAATGAATGAGGAATTATAAATGAAACAAGAATATCAAGATAAGTGCTGTGAGAACAGACCAACTGTATATAGAAGAGGTCTATGCTGGAGGCAGCAACTTTTAGAGCATTGAGGAATCCAGTCTTAAGGTAGCTGAGTAAGGCGAGGACACTAGATGCCTGGGAAAAACAAATATGTATTAAGTGCCTACTATATCCCAAGTACTGCGCTAAATGCTTTACAGATATAATTTCATTTCATCCTCAAAACACCCCTGGGGTATCTGTGATATGATTATATCCATTTTACAGTTGAGGAAAATGAGACAGAAGAGACTTGCTCAAGGTTACACAGCTGGTAAGTATCTGAGGCCATATTTGAACTTGGGACTTTCTGTCTTCAGGCCAAACTCTCTGTCTACTGGACCACTTCCAAATGCTCCCCTAGATACTCAGGTTCTCCTAAATGAGATCCACAATCATGCAAAAGAATCACTGTAATTAGTGCCCCAGGAAAACCAAGTGGATGAAAAAATGTTTGTTGTGCCTGCTATGATATGCCGTTAGGGCTAGGTCTATCAGTGCATGTGTCTTGGATATATCCTGCATATGAGAATGAGCTGGGCCCAGAATTGAAGAGGAGAAGAGGCTCAGTGGTATTTGGAAAACTTCAGGTGTTTTGTTTGTTTTTAGTGACCCCCGAGTCTTCCATGAAACAGACCTATTTCTTTAGTACTAATACCCTCGTTTGGCATCATGCAGTACTCAGGTACGTGAAGCATTAGGCTGCACATCACCTGTTGGATAATGATAGACATGGTGAGTATGAATAGACTTTTGCTTATTACAGATGAAGAGCTATGCATCGCCATGGAGACACATGATTGGAAGAGGATGGAGGGAAGCCTCTTTGCAAGAGGATCAGAGCTAACAAACTAATAGCCTATATGCTCCATTGCCATCCATGCAAAGTTAAAAAAATCAGAAGAGCTCCAAGCACTTAAAGGTGGAAATTCACGGAAGACTTAAAAGAGGATATGATCGAGCATCACCCCTATCAATGACATCACATTCTCCAAGTATCTGCCGTTAGACAATTTGGAGGTTCTAATGGAATGATTAACCTCAGAAATAAGACGCTATCCCATTGTCAAGTTCAGCACCCTTGTGATGTGCTAATTGCTCCTCTTTCAGATTGCGGTCATTTATTATCTAATCATCCTATGATACTTCTAATTTAGGTCTTCTTAGTGAAAAAACAAATGCATCCAAATGCCTGCTGTCTACTCCTTGATCATTAATGAACATTGATCTCTGATTGAATTTAGCCCAGACATTGTTTGTCATCTTTTAAGCTTACCCTCCCAGGACGCCAGAACAAGTATTGACTTTGTGGTCTGTGAGTATTAAGAGGCTAGAGGATTGTCTCATAAAGAGGTTTGTCCTAGAATAGCTAAAGCAAACATTATTCTTGGTGCTTTATGATGGGGTGAAAAAAGAAGGACTGGACTGAATGGAAAATTTATTTCTCCATCATAACCTCTCTCAGGCTTAGTCTCAGCAATACCAAACAATCAGTGTGGCTGGGAACAAAGGAGTAGGTTCCCCCTGGTTACCAAAAAGATAATGAAATTTACTCAAGTCTAAGCACCATGCCCACCTTGGAGGTTTACTATTAGCAGGGCCAGGCAGTCAAAGGGCCAAAAAAAAAAAAGCCTTATGTCAATCACTGTAGTTTGGTCCTTCCAGTCTTCCAACTGATTACAACCCTTTGAGTGTTAACTGGGGCCCGGAGTCCCCTTAAAGTAAGAGCTCCCCATGTTCGAGTCTTTTGATTCTGACATCAATGGCTTCTGCCCTTGGATTCTCATGACTGAAGCTGTATGAGAATACCCAGAAACAATGTGCATTAAGCACATGACCTAGAACAATATGGAAGCCTTTTTTCCAAACAAAGACTTGTTAGATAATGCCGCATAATTGTCTTTTCCAAGACTGTTGTATGATAATGTTGTTTAGATCCTTGTAGTTATGTTTGTTTTGCCTTGTCGAGGTAATAAGCCTTTTCCTCTACACAAGGTTGGATCGATGTCATTTTTTTTTGGCTGCTCCTGACTACATAATGTTCTAGTTTTGGGTCTTTGAGTCAAGTGTTTTTCCTAAGCATTGAGAATATTTTATGTCTGTTACAGGCTAAAACAAAGCTTTGAATTGGGAAGGTTAGCCTGAACAAGGGCCCTGGTGTTCAGTAATTGGGTTTTTATTTAATATCAGAACCTGTCTTTGGAATGATGCTGGGTCAGGTAATCCTATAGGCCCTTCCTGGGGGAGCTTTTGCTCATTACCTCCAGGTTTGTTGGCCTACTCTTGCCTCTCTCTTAGCTCACACTATTTCTTAAAAGCACCTGCATTTTTTTGGGTTTACCATCTCCTCTCATCTGCTTTGGAGAGAAAGCATGTTATAGTGGCTGTTGTCATGGAGACATTCAGATCCGTCCTCTGAGGCTTCCTACCCCTGTGACCTTGGGCATGAGCCTCAGTTTTCTCATCTGTAAAAAAGCAATAGTAACACCTACAGTATCTGCGTTGCTAGGATTTTGAGAGGCTCAGAGGAGATAATATGTGCAAAGGCTTTGCAAACCTAAGATAACTGGCTTTTTGGTGCACTATTTTTCTGCATCAAATTCAGTAAACACCAGAGAAAAAGAGGCTTGCACACAGAACTACACGTCTGTTTTATACACCTTAAATTTTTAAGGAATATAATAAATTCATCGTATAGCTTTCAAAGCTGACTTGCTTGTCTGTGCTTCTGTTTGGCTTTCCTTCTGGTTCTTAGAGATTGATTCGGGATGAACCTTTTGATTTTGCTGGCATAGTGAACTCTGGGTAAAAGAACTCTCTGTATTAATGCAGGTCAGGACATCCTCTGCAACTGAGTTAATTAGGGAGTCACTGGGCCACACTGGCCATATAAGTCAATGGTGAGGCTGGAATCTAAGCCTTAATGGCCCTGAGGCTGGTTCTCTCTGCACAATGCTCAGCTGTCTCTACCTGGTTTTTCTTATCTTCTTCCTTCATTAACCTAGGCCTAGCCAGAGTAAAATTAGGATCTATAATTAAATACCTTTAATCTGTGATCTTCCAGGAACAGAGAGAGCTTGGGGAATTGGAATCCACAAAGCATCCAGAGGTTAGGGGTAGCTAGATGGAGCAGTGGATAGAGCTCCAGTCTTGGAGTCAGGAAGACCTGCGTTTAAATCTGGCCTTAGACACTTGACACTTACTAACTGTGGGACCCTGGGCAAGTCACTTAATCCCGATTGCCTCACCAAAAAGAAGAAAAAAAAAGCATCCAGAGATTATTAGAATCTAGAAAGTATGTCTTTTTTCAGCCTCTTCTTTCATGAACACCTCAACAGAGCTCTATGTGAGGCCCCATTAGTTAGCCCCTACCTGAAGTGACATTTACTTATCTTTCCTCTTATCTTTACTCCTTGAAGGCAAGGAGAATTTTTTCCCCCCTTTATATCGCCAAAACCTAATGCATAGTAGGCACTTAATAAATGTTCCCATATGTCCTGCTTTCTTCTGAATGCTCACTCCCACGAAGAAGGCTATTATCACTCCTATGTCCTGTGTTGTGTCGAGCACACTGAGAGGCAGCATGACCTTGTGGCCTTGATGAAGGCCTGCCTCAGAGTCAGGAAGACCTGGGTGCAAGTCTGTCCTTCTGACACATACTGGTTGTGTGACCCTGGACAAGTCACTGACCTCTCAGTGCCCCAGACAGCTCTCTAACCCCAGAATTCACTGTGCCCTGCAGACCTGCATTGTGGAAGGAGACTGTCTGTTATCGGTGGTTCTTGTGGACAGTAAGATAATATAAAGCCCAAAGAGTCCTTAAAATCACCTAGCTCCTCCCCAAGTGTCAGGCTTCTAAAGTGTGAAGGGGCCTTAGCCTCTAGGTTCTTTCTTTCTTTCTGTTTTTAATAGGGGACACAGTGAAGATGCAGAGAGTTTGGGAAAGTGAGCTGAAATCATGCAGAATTAAGACTCCTGCCCCCAGTTTCCTAACTCTCCATGCAGTGCCCTACGCCCATGATCCCATACTTTTCTCCGTTTTTTCTGACTGCTGGAGTCGGGCAGCTTCTTTTCTTGCAGTCTCTTCCAGGGGCAGAGCTCACCACTTCTCAGAAGGGCCTCCAATGGATCCA